AGGCAGGCAGGCAGGTAGGCAGGTCGGTAGGTATGCATGCATGCATACATGCATGCATACCTAGGTCGACGTGCATAATATGTACATACATGGATACACACAGAGACACACATTCATGCACGCATGCATACACGCATGCATACGTACATGCATACATATGTATCTACACACGCACGTGTGGAGACTGGACTTTCCGAGGTGTCCCATAATGTTTACGAATGCACACGTGCGCGCGCACGCGGGTGCATGTGCGTGTGTGTGTGTGTGGGTGTATATCGTTGCGCACACAGACACACATGTATGTGTATGTATATAAACACATATATGTATGATATGCATCTATAGAGCTTGCAACCGTTCTTGCCAGGATCAAGACCGAGAGCAAAGAGGCTATCGAGCCAAGATTTGGCTTCTTTATCTGCAGGGCTTGGCTCGGCTACTGTGTTTAGGGTTTAGTTTAGAGAAGTTCGAAATTCCAGTTGTGCACCTCCCGAAATCTGCGCTGTCAAGCCGAAATGGAGAAGATGTGCCAAAGTCTTCGAATGTGCGCAGGCGCCGAAGGGTGCTGCGAAAGCCAAAGAGGCACCAAAGGCAAAAGTTGTCAAGGAAGCTCCAAAAGACGCCACTCCCAAGGCCAGGTGCTCTACTGTATTTGCTTCTGAGTTGACTGTGCTATAGCAATTGCAGCAGAAGCCTCTAGAAAACCAAAGTCCTAGCCGCTGGTTTTGTTGGAGGAGTCCAAGAAGGATGGAGATGCAAAGAAGGAGGCACCAGTGTGCTGCTGCGGGCGTGTGGCTGTGGACGAAAACAAGAGTAAGCTTGTATCATTCTTCCGCTTTAACAGATTGAGGACACTGCAGGCATGCTCCATTCTTCTGGTAGGTGGTGAAGACGAAAGAGGCACCCAAAGCAAAGGAAACCACCAAGGACAGGAACTTATCTCCATTGATAGAGGAGAAGAAAGTAAGTGTCTGCGTGTGTGGATCTTCGACAATGCGGCTTACAAGGCACACCGTTCGTCAAATTTCGAGATCATGCTCACATCGCAGCATGACTTCACGTGGCCATGCAGCCGAAGTGATACAATGCGTATGGACCTGTGTTTGTTCATAGCGGAATCGCACCCCGCAGGACAGCGTGCAATCGGCCACAAAGGCCAAGAAGGACGACAAGCACATCGTATATCATAGGAAGTGCTATGGCCGACCCTTGAACTTAAACTTCATTCAGCCGATTTACGTTATATCATGTTAGATCATATGAAACGATGTTATATTATGTTTCTATGTTTGAGATGAGGCTAGATTATTCTTTATCTTATTGTACTACACTATAGTATATACCATAATCTAGTATTGTTTGTTTGTTTTTTCAATTCTGTGCTTCAATGTACTATGTTATGCTGCTTTACCTTATATTATATCATATCATCTTGCATCACATTTAAATGTATTATATTGTATATTTTCTGCACGATACTATGCTATACTATACAGCCCTATACACTATACTGTGCTAGACTATGCTATACAGGACTGTACTGCACTATACTATACTACGCTATGCTGTGCTATAGTATGCTGTAACTTTTTTATCCTGTACTTTTGCTATACTCTACTATACTATACAAAACTGTACTGTGCTGTACTGTACTATACAGTACGATGCAATACCTTCTTCTATTGAGCTATATTAGATGACATAGTGGTGTATGATATCATACTACAATGTCTCATATTGTAAAACATCAGATTACTATCATATTACTATCATATTACTATCAGATTACTATCATGTTACTATCATACTACTCTATATACTCTGGCACAGAGGAGTCCAGGGAGACCAAAGAGGCCAAGCCCAAGGAGGACCCTTCGTTTCTGTCAGAGCCATCTCGACGATCTTGCTGCTGCTATTCTGCATGTCATGTCGGAGACTTTTAGTTGAATCTTTGGCTGACGGCTGCTTCTTCAAAAGATTGCCACCCACAGCCGGGCCTTACACTCGGCAGTACTAGGTCCTAGTTTTGTTTGACAATGTTAGAAGTGGTCATTTATGGTCCATCATGGCTGGATACCCAGATTGCCAGTTGCATTAGAGTTTCAGTGTCATGTCTCGTGCGATGCTGTCGGCTGCTGGACATCGCCTGCCCTCCGTGCCGATGGTTGCGAAAGCTCGCGATGCAGCTTGGTCTCACAATGCTCGTCAGCCTCAGCGGGCACACCTTGTGGTCTTTCCATTGTCCCAAGAGCGAGCCTGGAGCATTTGCAGATCCGTTGAAGGTACAGTGGTTTGGCGTGCCATTTCGCGATAGAAAAGGTCCTGATGCAGATGGTTGGCAGGCCAGCCCGGGCTTTTAGGGGCAAGCTGTGGAACATGTCGCATGCTTGCCTTGTTGCTGGAATGTTTTCGCGATCCAGGAAGCAACCGTGCATGCCAGCGCTTTGCATGTTGGCCGCAGTGCGGTCGCTCTTGGTGCCTTGGTCTTGAAGTAAGCAATGAATAGCACGGGGGTGCCCCGACGAACAGAAGAACGGCCAGCGCAGACTTGCCCAGTGTCCTTATACATTTCTCCAAGGTGGTGTTGCATGGCGATGCGTCCGCCGCATGGCTGCAGAGGCTGGGAGAACTGGAAAGGGCAACACACATATTCGTTGCTTCATCATGAAATATACAAGATGATGTAATATCAAGATAAGATAGAATCATTTTATATAATCCGTATAACGCACTTTACTGTAGCATGCAATCAAGTAAAACAGAATTAATGTAACATAAAGTAACACAACATAACATAATATAGTATAACTTAATATAATGTCATTCAATATCATATAAGATCGTAAAATGATAATGTCATTTAATGAAAACAACATGATCCAACATGATGTAACGTAGTTTAGTAATGTCATACAGTAATTTGATATAATAATGTAACATAGTGTAATATAGTGATGTACGAGAATGTTGTAGAATGTCGTAGTTTGTAGTATCAGTATATTATTTCAGTACAATATACAATGGTATTACTACTACGTTCGCTTGGCGCACAGGCCGAGGACGGAAAGCTGCTGTCCGCCAAGGTTCAGCTCGTTGCTTCTGTCTTGTATATGTGGTAGATTGATCCGCAGAAACATCGTGAAGCTGTGGACTTTGAGTGGCGACGGTTCAACCTGGATACAATCTTGCCTCGCGAAAGGCTGTGTTCAGACATCTTGGTGGGAAGCACAGCTCTCCAGAACGCTTGCTGCTGGATCAAGGCCGGCATGCCCCAGCAATTGCTATCTGCAACAGTGTCTGACATGGGTTAAGCAACACTCGAAAAGGTGCAGCTGCTTTCGTTCACTTGTAAGTTATTCTGCTCGTCTTAATCCGCCCTGTCGTCGCGCTTGCTCGCACAGGCTCTATGGACTCCTTCAAGACAGAGAGAGCCTTAGCAGGTAAACCAAACTCCAACACCCAGTCCTTGTGCGGCTGAGCCGCACTTTCTCCTTCACAATCATGGCCACCAGCTCGTGCTAGATTGCACCGCCATTTGCATGTCGCCTCAACCTGTA